TTACTCTCACGCCCTGGAAGCAGGATTGCATGTTATCGACGTTATATTTTGTCCGAGATTATTATAGTAAGGAGTTATTTTGGTCAAACTTACTATATTTAGCTTAGGTGATGTGTTAAAAGACTTGCTATTTCCTGCATTGTTGGAAAATGGTAAAGGATTAAAGATAACATGTTTACAACAATATATTAGCCTTAACATTACCAAACTCAAAACCCACACATTTTCCTCACAACTACACTCAAGAAAGACTCAATCTTTACGCGTTATTCGAATTCCCATCGCCAGGGCTCGGCCCCGATTGGGACCTCCGACCCCTTTCGCTTCGGCTATTCTCTGAAAACTTCAATCCGGCCATGTGAAAGCCCTTCTCTTTCTCGTCCGATGTCCACTCGGACATGTAATAGTCCTCCTCGGTCGATCCCCCAGTGGGCCCACACAACATTCCTCCCCATTGAGGAAAGTGTATTAATGCAATCACTAGTGTGCAACATATGATCATAACCCCCATTAAGGTTATCCCACTCTCCGTTGAATATCTTGACCCTCTAAAGAAAATCACTTGTGTTACAACTGCACCTACATTTCCTCCTCCACCGGTCATCCCAGAAACTATACCTAGTGACCTAGTTTAAACAACAATCGAAATTGAAAAAGAAAATAAAAAAACCAAAAATAAAATAGTATTCGATTACTTTTTAAATGATTTTACGAGCTAGTCGAAAGTAAAAGAAAACCGTACCTCCGGGACACGAAAGGCACGACACCGAACGTGAGCCCGCACGCCGCCTGCACGAAAACCGAGAACACGACCATCACTGCAACCGAGCCCGCGAGCGACCCGACCCTCCCGAGCCACACGCATAGCAATCCTCCGATCGTTTGCACCCCCCACAAAGCCCACAACCTCCCTCTCATCCCGTACCTCTTCCCGACAAAATCCGAGAGCATCCCACCTCCGGGCCTCGACACCACGTTCGCCAGCCCAAAACTCGCCGCTATCAAACCCGCCGTGTGCAGGCTCAACCCGAACCTGTCGTAAAATTAACATTCCCCCATTTCTTTATCTTATAAATTTGATTAAAATGTCGTCGTTTTATCTTGAAATATGAGGGAAAATACACATTTTTTCGAATTTTAACTAAACCTGTCGTAGAAGTACTGTGCGATTATGTTGTCGATCGTGAGCTCGACTCCGAAGCAGTACCCGTAGGTCAACGCCAATATCCATCCCCGGTAGTTCCCGAGCGCTCCCGAGAAGACGCTAGAGAATCTATCTTTATGCTTCTCGCCGGATTTATGTAGCTCCGAGTAGTTCCCGTCCGGTAAATCCTGGCCGAGGAAGAAGATCCCGTAGGCCGAGAGGGTTTGAAACATGGCCGGGACAAAGAATGCGATCCGCCAGGCAGTGAACCGGTCCGGTCCGGCCCGGAGGATGAGATCGTAGACGAGCGGCATGACAAGCTGTGTGGCGCCGCCGCCGAGGTTTCCCCAGCCTCCGGCGAGTCCGTTGGCGGTTCCGACGACTCCGGCAGAGAAGAGAGAGCTCATCCAGAACTGGGTCGAGACGAAGGTGGCGAGGGAGAAGCCGGTGAAGAATCGGGCGAGGAGGAAACCCGCCGGAGAAGAGGCTGTGGCGGTAGAGTAGACCGCCGGAGCCGTGAGGAGGGTCAACGAGGCGGAGGCCAGCCGCGGCCCGAATAAGTCGCACGCCGTTCCCATTGCCACTCGTGCGAAAATCGCGCCTGCCGGAAAGAAAAAAAAAAAGGTGAAGTGGAGAAAAAAACAGGGGAAAAACAGGGAATTTGGGAAATTGAATCGGCTAACCGGAAACGGCGGCGATTCCGGCGTTGCCGATGTCGGTGGCGGTTAAATCGAGGTCGTCGCGGATGATGGGGATGAGGGGAGGGGCGGCGAAAGTCGAGACGAAGCAGGCGAAGAATGAGATCCAGGAGAGATGGAACGCGCGCATGTGGGGGGCGGCGAACGAGAGTAGCCGGAATTCGGTTGCTTTGTGCTCGGAGTCCACCGGAAGAGCGAACTTTCGCCGGTGGGATTCGTCGGAGCCTTGTGAAATCTCCATTTTTGAAAGGTGGGTTTTGAGGTAGCGTGGTTCAAAGTTTGGTTTTGGTTCTTTGTTTTTCTACGTTGACTTTGGAGCTTTTAAGGCAGCTAATTACCAGAATCTAAGGGAATGTGCAATTTTTGACTTGGTCTGAGATTCCTGTTGGGTGCATTTGATTTTTTATTTTTTTTATATGTGATATGACTGTTAAGCCCTCTCTTTTTGTTTATATTATTTGTGATGATGATGATGATTATGTAAAAATCAGGTCATTTTGCATAAGGGATTTAGAAAATGGTTGGATCTTTTTATAATCAAGTGTAGAGTTGATGACCAAATTGAGCCACTCGTGAACTCGGCTCGGTTAAGCTCGACTCATTAATGCTCGAACTTGTTTGAGGCTCTTTAAACTTGATAAATTGGGGTTTTTATATAATATTTTGAATTTATAACATAATTCCATCAATTAAGGTTTGTTTAAGAGCCGAGCATGGCCGGTCTAGGCAAAGGCGAGCACGAGTATAAGGAATTGAAACTCAACTCGACTGGTTTAGAGCTATGATTAAGATATTAAAGTCGGGAAATGGTGTCGTTCCGTCACAGAACAATTCCGACGTGATTTGTAACCGTTAGATCATCATGTAACCGTCGGAAATAGTTAATCTAACGATTACAAATCTCGACGGAATGGTTCCTTAATGGGACCGTAGCATATCTCATTAAAGTCATGACAATTCTGGAAATGGCACATTATTTATTGAGTGGCCTCAAGAAAATTTTCCTTTGTGCAAAACGGGAAAAAAGAGAGAGACATTAAAAATAATTCTGTTTTTTATTGGGTTTATTGCACCAAACCCCCTGTATTATACTAAATTTGTGCGTTTTCCCCCTGTATTTTAAAAATTGCGTCATACCCCTTGTATTTAAAGTTTGCATGCACACTCTCCCATTTGACTGTTTTCCTATTAACGGCGTTAATATTTTTGTAAAGTTCCCGTTATGCCCTCAGAATATTATATATATATATATATATATATATTTTCTGATAAATTGAATTTATCATGATATATTCAATATATCGCGAGAAATTGAATAGACTTTCTCATCTCTAAATCAAAATCACACTTTCACTTTCTTGAACAGACTTTCTCATCTGCTATTCCTAAATGCTTCTTGCTCACTGGAAGGATTGCCAAAAATAAAAAAGAATGACCAAAGGGCAGACAAAGCTAAGGAGAAGGGATTTTCTTAACTGG